TTTTTTTGTTTTAGAACTAACTACTTTGTCAATTATTAATTACTTAAATTATTTATAAAGAAAAAAATTAATAAACAATACAATAGTGTATTAAGTGACGAAAAGTAATTTTTAATATGTTTTGTGATATTTTTGTTTGATTTGTCAAATGTGCGCAAAGTTTGACTTGAAAATAAGATTAAAGCTGTCTTATTTATAAATTTTTTGTTTTATGTAATTTCAAAAAGTAGTTAGTATGCAAAAATAAAATAGATTTAATAAAAATGTCATTAAAATGTGTGTTCAATTTGTTATCTAATTTTTGATATTTTTTCTCAATAACTGAAAAACAAATAAATTTTGGCATTAATTTATAATAATACTTGCATTTAATATACTTTCAGTATACTGATGTGATGTTAATATTTGAATTTGAGTGTTTTTGTCATAAATTTGATTAGATTTTCAGTTGACGTTTGAGACGTTTTATTTTGGCAGTGCCATTATAATACACGCAACATCTTTGTATTGGTAACAGTTAATTGTTTAGAAAAAGTTACACAATTTGAATAACAATTTGTGGGCAAAGTATTTTTTCTCATTGATAGTTATTTGCACAATTTTATCTCATCATTTAATACTTTGTAATAAATACTGCGTACTAAACCACAAAAATAAAAAATAAACATTTTTTTGAGTAAAACTAAAATGTATTTTTTTCAGAAAGTATTTTTATTCCACTTTTTCTTCTTTCAAATGGTCAAATTTCGGAGATAAAAAAAGTTTATGTGATAGAATATTTATTTGTTAGTGTTTAATAGTCTCTCTAATAGTCTTGCGATTTGATTTTTATTCTTAAAAAACTTTTTACTCAAATAAAAGTTGATATGTAGCAAAGTTAGATTAAATGTTATAAAATTGACTAACTAATATTAGATCTGATTATTTAATCAAAATTTGATATTAAAATCAAATAAGAAGCATTTGCAATGCATTCTTAGATAAATGAATAAAAATTATTATTTAAATTTTTCAAAGAATTCAAGAATAATTATGAATAAATTTTGTGAGTATAACCGAAAAATTAACAAAAAAATATTTAATGCTTGAAAATGGATTAAAAATGTTTGCAAAAATATTGCATTAAAAATTCTATCACACTGATTTGTGAATTAGATAATTTTTTTGTGTGATAACTTTGTAATTTTGATAATTTAAACCAAACTTGCCTTATATAGTCACGATTTAATGCTCGACTAATATTGCTGAAAAATTTGTTGTAAGTTTTGAAGATTGAAAAATAATAAACATTAATGAATTGGTAGTTAAAAAGTGAATTTACTTGGCGTAAAACTTATAAATTAGTAATGCAAAAACGTAAAAAATAAATTAATGGCGCAAAACTCTTCGGTGTAATTTTTTTATTGTTCATTAAAATTATTAATGAATAATTTTATTCAAATGAATATCTTTTTATCTATCTCATCAATAATTGCTTTTCATGTCTAGTAAATTCATTTTTCTTCGGAATTGGAACAAACTTTTAATCCAATACATTTATGGTAAGTCAATGATTATTACTATTAAATGAATTATGGCTATTAATTAATTAATACGGTTGAATTCAGTGTGATCATTTTGGAAATGATAAATAACAGCATCTTTTGATCATTTGATATTTAAATTTGCATAAAGCAAATAATAGTTAAAAGCTGAAAATATTTTCATTATTTTAAAAATAGCAAAATCAATGTTCGAAAAAAAATCTTTTTTTGAGAAAAATTGCAAAAAAATTGAAAGTGCGTGAAATTCGCAACATCCGTTGTGGTTGTTAGCACTGCTTGCAATTCACTGTGGATGGGTAAGAAATGGCGAAGGAAAATTTGGAAAAAGCTTGTGCTTACGGAGTTAGTAAATAGCATTGAAGTCACGTATTCACGCACGTTGAGAAGATTTGCAGTAAGTAACAAACAAAATTTGCCTGATTTTTCGGATATTGTTCATTTAACTATCGCTTTCCAAGGCATTAGTCTCAGCAGTGAACAAATGACCCTTGTAAAGGTTTGTTGTTTAATTTTATTGCTTTGAAATTATTATTCATTGAGCATATTAGTATTTAAACAACGTTTTAATTCAATTACATTTAATAAGTAATTCAAGTAATTCCGAAGTAACTTGTCACAATCTGTAACATTTTTGATTAACTTAATATTTATATTTCTCTTTTGATTTGAGTTTTTTACAACTATGTTGACCTTTAAATGCATGCATGACCTAATTTATGGACAAAGTAATCATAATTTTTGCTTAGCTCTGCTGTAGTTTTATTTACAGTTTCCCTCCATCTAAATTCAATTTTTTTAACTTGAAAATCAATAAACAATTTATACGGATTATCAAATTATGTGTAGAAATTTTAGACAATAATTGTAATAAAATGCTGCTCATAAATCTTAGCATCAAATAATAATATTAATTAAGTAATCATTCCTTTCATCCTTCCTTGTCAGAAGAAATCTTGGCATCAAATATTAGACTTGGCAAATTCTGTCTTATTATGGTATGTTCATGCTTAATGCAATTATAGCTTAAAAATGAAAGTAAAAGGACAGCTCGACCTTCGATATATGCAATTTTAGAATGCACTGAAATGCTGGTCCGAAAAGACAAAGTCAACACCTGGTGAAATGGCGCATTTATATATACGTAAAAAGTATCCTAATATGAGACAAGAATTTGAAAAGCATCAAAAATTAAGTGAATTTTATCAGAGTACTATCAATAAAATTATTGATATGGCTGTTGAAATTATTGGTTCATTAGGTATGCAAATTTTACTCAGATTTATTTCTAAAGCAATCAGATTTTTGAAAAAATTTAACTTTAAAGTGCTTCAGCGTGACATTTACTGACCCACAAAATTATCACTTAACTACTAATACACTTATATTTATGGTTCATTACAAATTTAATTCAATCAGCTAAATATTTTCTGAAAACTGCTTTTCACTAATGCACAAATTACAAAATTTTACACACAGACTTTGCCGTAAATCCAAAATGTGAATTTGAAAATATGATATTTATTATCGAACATAACTAAATGTTTACTTTCTTGAACTGTCCTTTTTACTTTCTTGAACTGTCCTTTTTACTTTCTTGAACTGTCCTTTAACGACGAAAACTCATAGATATTTATAAGGCACTGAATTTCCAGACGATTCACTGGGTCCATTACTGGTTAGTTATGCAGAAGGTAGTGGAATCCTCACTGGAAGAGGTAAACTTATTTCCAATTTTTGTTAGTATTTTCAGTAGTGATTCATCAAATTAGTCCAGACCAGATAAGTCTACCTGCTAATATTTATATCAATTAACGAAAGAAAATTCTAGACTGCTTTGACCAGTACTACTGGCAGAAAGTATTTGAAGCATTGTGTACACTACCCCATCAATTTCCAAGGCTCAAACGTCAAGAAGTAACGCTGAATTGGCGAATAATTATCTTATTTTTATGCTACAAAATTGAATATGCCGTGCAACTGCAAAATCAATACGCGTACAATCGTTATTCTTTTGATAATCCATGCTTCTGTTAACTGAGCTACATTGCTTACTTTGAAAAGTTGTTTATGTAAGAAAAATGTAAAGAATCTCACATTTTGAGAGAAGTATAAAATGAGTGTCTCTAAAAGACTCCTCTGAATAATTAGTCGTCTTAATTACGATGGTAATAATAAACTGCCTTAGTCAAACAAATGCACAATTAAATTATCACGAATTAAATTAATTTCAGTGTCTGAAATCAGCACGAGATAACTATAGAAAAAACAAAAATACACACTCTTAGTGAGGTTACGATGGCTTGAAATCACATTTGACATTACATAATACGGAAACAAAAATCCAATGTCAGTGGCACACAAATAATTCATCTCGAATTACTCCTCTTTTTTCTCCCATCTTTCAGATCCGTTGTGCAAACTAGTTCTATCGTTAAAATACTTGCTCACTTCCTACAAGTAGTCGTTTATTTGATTTGAAAATAGATTCGCAAAACAAGCCATGACAAATTAGCAGATCTTTTTTACCAAAATAAAAAAATGAGGGATGATACTAACATCAAGGCTATAAAAACATTCCTATTCTTTTTATATGCCTATCCTAATACACAAGTAAAACTTAAAAAAAAAGACATTTGAAACAAAAATAATCAAATCAATAACTATAAAAGCCCTGCAAAATCCAGTTATTAACTCAACTATCAAGTATGAAAAAAATTAACGACTGATAACTATTTGAGAACTTAGAATTATAGACTCATCTCATAAATGCTGTCAAGCAGCTAACAGGAATCGAGTTGGTTAAAAAAATTTTGTAATGGCTTGTGATTTTCTTCCAAAAACAGAATCCAAAAATTCTACAGTAACTCCAATATTTTAGTCACATTTTTTACCGAATTATTATAAGAACGGAATTAAACAATATTTTCAAGTATTTGTCAAAATGAAAACTTTTATTGTTTCGGTTTCTTAGGCCACGTATTACATTCACCAGTCAAACTTCCGATCTGAAAAAGAAATTATTTTTAAACTTTTTAAACATTTGCTAAATAAAGTAATGCTTATAATTTAATGTTGAATTCATACCCACATAACGATTTCAAAACCAAGTTTTTGAAACGGCATAAACTAAATTCTGTAATACATATTATCGCTTACAGAACGCTAAATATGAACTAATTAATAAACGAAAATAAAAGTATTGAATTCTCAAGATGTTTGATCACATGACTTAGTAACAATGTAATTCTCTAAAAGTCACACTTACAAATTAGAAAAAACTGAGAGGATAGAAATTTTGAGAAAACTCACATTCTGTTTTTTATGACGCTTATTTCCAATTTTCCTTTTTCTTCTATTTCCAAACCTGCAATTAAAAACTTATTAGAATGTAAAAAGTAAAGACAAATCATTAGTAAAGTAAAAAAGATTTTAGAACACTAAACCTACACAGAATTTGCTAATTCACAATCAGTAATTTCCTGTTCAGCATCGACGGTGACTTCATCAGTCACCACACCTTCTTTCAAATCTTTATAATATTTCATTAGTTTCTGAAAATCGAAAAGATGTGGATTAAGAGCGTCGACATTTTAATTAATTGAAAGTGTAATTGAAACACAGGTACAAAATATCCAACACAAACCTAGTTTAGCAAATATATTACTCAACAAAACCTTGCAACACACTGCTTGAAAAATTAAAACCTGTGAATTTGCTACAAAAATACCTCAACTTCAGGATTGAAACCGTTAAAAGACAACCGTCCAAAAACAAGATCTTCCAATACTTCAATTCGATTTTCGTACGAAATATTTCTAAAACTTATTTCAGTTGAAAACTTATAAGTTTCAAAAAAACAAAATTTCAAGTACAGACCAGTTCTAAGTAATTTGAAAATCAAAAACACACAATTCTCAAACTTCCGGCATAATAATCTTACAAATCTGGAGCTTTTTCTTCCTCTGCTTTCCTTTTTCTGCTGTAAAAAGTCCTCTCAATAGCTTTTTTTCTTTTTTTTTCGGATGCCTCTTCTATCCGAGTTTTTGTCTTCTGCATGAACTTAAAAAAAAGACTTGCAGGTATATGAGATTAAAAGAAATGTATCACATCGCAAGTAGTAAAAAATAATACTTGAATTAAAAAAACTCAAGAACAGAGCGAACCATATCTCACGGAGGATGATTTGAAGTAAAAAGTTCTTTTATTTTCAGGAATTAGAAAAAGAAAAATAATTTACACAAACCTTCATTTGTAGAAGCGCTGATGATAAACCTTTAGTATCATTCATCTTTTGTTACTAAACTGAAATTAATAATACTCAAATAATGACGTCCAGAACAAAATAAGTTCGAAGCGTTACTTATAATTTACTTACAAAGAGAGTAATTACAAAATAAAAGGGGTCAAATTGAGAAATTTACTGACAAATACTATCTACATTCTGAGATTGAATTTCCTAGTTCACCTCAAGAACATTCAATAAATGAGAAAAATCTTTCAAATGTTAAATGCCAAAGTTTTATGCACATCACATTATGTAAAAACGTAGGACCTCAAGATTCTTTAGTATTATATACAGAACATTTTCGATGAGTAAACTACATAATAATTTAGATAACATTTTTATCCTGAAAGCATATCAAAATCATTTTACGAATAGGGAAATAGCATGCTATCTATTAAAAAAGTATTCGAATCTCGTTTTATGATATTTATGTCAGTTGTGATAAAAGTATTATGCATACTGTCGTGTAAATAAATGATATGACGCAAATAAAAATGAAAATCTGAAATGTCCTGGAGTGACATTTGAGAAGTAAAGTTGGTAAGGTTGGCAAAAAAGGGAATAGCACAATTAGTGAATTTGAAGATTAGCAAATACAGCTTCCATAAGTATAAGTTAGTGTTACTTTAAGTCATTTCTAAAACATTAGATAGAACTATTTTCAAATAACTTTTCTACATGCATCCATCACTCATGATGGCTACAAAATATTGACATTTTAGTCATAAACAAAAATCATATGTGCAAACAGTATGAATGCAAAGAGCTCATTGAGGAGCTAGAATTTTGCAATAAAGTAAGTTAAGACTTGAATCTATTAGAAAAACAGAACAAATCTAGATACAGCGAAACCAAATCACATTATTCAAATCCTACATATTCTCGATTCAAATTACTATATTGTCGCAAACTAAACTACAACCTAAAAAATCTGGTCAGTACCCAAGTTACGACGGATCTTGTGTGAAAGGTTGTGAATTATGTCAAAGGGTTGTCAGTTATCTGTTGTCTAGTACTGAAGTTTGGGACGTGTTTTCAACTTCAGATTTGTAAATTACTAGCAAGATTTGACTTATAATTTTAGAAGATACAATATTCTTTGTAAATTTTCTTTCTACACGCATCACAACACTCACTTATGCTACAAAATGTTCGACTTCCGACGTTAAGTAACGGAATTGCGTCAAAACACGTTTCACATTATTAATCCTTTTTAAGCAAATTATAAAAAGTGTCTGAAAAAAATTTTTAAAAATCTAAATGTACAAAGGATTTTATAAGGAAGCATACACTTTATGCGCATAGCAAAAAATTTATACTGAAATTTGAAATTTTTACAATTTAAATGAAGAGAAATATTGGGTAAGGAAGGGACTTTATTAATAGGTAGTGATCACGTATATGGCCATGACTCGTTGGTATTCGTCACGTTTGCATTCATATCGGAATTTGTAGATAACTGAAATCAGAACCGTTTGAAACTTCTAGTTATTGCTCTAATTTTTATACAAAATTAGTACTCTGAGTTTTGAATTTTACTCTTTTCATCCTTCATCTTTCATCTTTTAAGACTAGCCAAATTTCGAACATTAAAAATTGCAAACTAAAAACATCCCATGGAATTTGTTGCTAAGAATGTTTACTTTTATTTCAAGTCTAAATATTCATCTTAACTTGGGATTCCATTATTTCTCAGTTTTTTGGTCTTTTTTAATGAAAAAATAACAATAATGAGGATAATAATAATTATTATGGCCTAAAGATCAAAATGTCAGTATCAGTCTAAATATTCATTTGATCAGATCAGTTGATAAAGTGCAGCTAGAAGACTAAATTTGGAAAACAGATTTATTGGAAACAGTAAATCAAACAAAGTGTGAAACTAACTCCATAAAGGCTTAGTTTGATTAGTTGAAACGTGGCTACTAGACAGAGGAATACATTTACGCTTGCGAGGTTGTAATTTACTGGTTTAATGGCGAAACTGTAACGCGCCCAAATACTCCCAGTAGCGAAAAGTGCCAAATTCTGCAAAAATTTTATTGAGAGTAAATATTTTTACTATTCTCAATTTTAATTAAGTTAAATCGATTTTGAAGTAAAGTTGCTCTCAGAAGTAAGAAGAAGCGCTGAAAATTTATCATTTCGAATTTGTAAAAGTATTATCGGATTCAGTGAGGAAATGCTTCAACAGAGATTTCAAATAGTGAAAGTTAGCACATCATGTATCTTTAGAAACACAATTCTAGTTTTGGTTATTATATTGTTCTCTGAATTATTTAATTTCATATTTAATTCTTTAGAAGCACAATTCCTATTTCGATATTTTTCAAATACAACAGAATTCCAGCATAATTTGCGGAACAGTAATTTGATATGAACGATAATAACCTGGAAAAGACTGATCTTTTCTGCGGGTCGCAACATATCAGCTATACCAGCCAGAACTAAACACCATTTTATTGTTGGTGCCCAAAAAAATATTGTCTTTGGACCAGCAGGATGGTTCCAGGAATTTTTTAGAAAATTTGGTAGTAACGGATAAACTACCTGAAACTAATTTTAAAATACACTTCTTTAACGTTGCAGATTTAACATTATTCACTCTAATTGTGCGAAAAAACTCTGCTTATATAAAGTTATTTTTGTAAAAATATAATCACGTTTTGAATTAAACAATTTTAATTTATCTTAATAAAACATATCAGTGTTATATTTTACATCCAATTATAATTTTTTTAATCTATATTTAATTGTATTAAAATTTTATAAAATAAAGTGTACTATATTTTTTATTTATAAATTTTATTATTTGTGCATCTTTCAATGGTACACTTTATATTTAAATTAAAATTAGAAATATTCAAAACAAATTTTGAGCTGTATGAAATTCAGAAGTAATTAGCTACTACCTTATCAACTGCTTCGCAAATAGTATCACATTTACCAGGCATGTCGCTGAATATATTATTATAAATCGCTAAGAATAACTGAAATAATCGCAGAGATCAATGGAATGACCAGACAATACGATGACTTGAATGACACACTGAATAAAGGTCGTCGCAGTTGTACGCAGCACTCTCTTTCTCTTCTAGAATGTTATGATGTAACTTTTTCTTAATACCCTTAGAAATTATTTTTGGAAAAATTTATAGCTTAAGTGGATGAAATAAATTTATACAAAGTAAATTTATCAGCAAAAAAAGATTAAATCAAATTAAATAATTTCAAATAATGAGTGTTTTTGTTAATGATAATCTAAAATCTAAGATTTTTCTGTTAAAATAGTATCACAATGAGAAAGAGCGGAAACGCTGAAACTATTTTAAATCCTCTGATATCAGATTAATTTTTTATTGAACTAAAACAGAATTGAATTACTGAAATTCAGGAATCTATCATTTCAGAACTTTTTAAGATCAAATTATCTTAAGCATTTTGATGAGAAATTTGCATAAAAATTATCAGTCTTTGTTGATATGAAAAGATTTAGTATTAAGAATTAAACTCGTAACGAAAATAAAAATTGAATAAATCAGCTGATGTTTATTTCTTTCAGTAGAAAGTTTGCTCTGTCTCTGTTTAATGATATGCTTGAGCAGAAGTAATCTTAGATTTATCTCATATTTTCTTCACATTTCAAAAAGATTCAAAACAAACATTTCCTTCTTTCAAAAAATTAGCAAATACAATCAATCAATTTTATAATTTGCATAAATTCATTTTCACAATTGCTACCTGTCACTATTAGCAATTTTTTCTTACAAAAATATGTAAGATAAAACTCAAAAATTCTCGCTTACTACCAAAAATCGCTTATTGAAATCATAAATATGCAAAAAATTATTTTATTTTTCAAATGATATCACTTTTGTGATATTTTTTACTGATTACATTTGATAAAATCAAATTACTATTAATAAGCTTTTTTATTTTTTATTCAAACCAAGTTATCATTATCATTATTATTATTATTATTATTGTTATTATTATTATAAATTATGCAATGTTAAGTTGCTAGTGAAATTAATTTTGCAAGAATAAAATGAAAAAAAGCGGTAAAAATGCGGAAATTTTGATAAATTTTTTTCAAAATTCATAAATAAATCATTTTGAGCGGTGGAAGAATTATTCAAATTGTTCTATACTTGAATCTTTCTTTATTTTGTCTAATTAGCACTTAATCAATCTACCATCTTTCCCTCCACAGAACTGTGTAAAGTACTGAAGAGAAAAGTGAGAAACTGTAATGTAAGCAAAGTTGGATGATGCAAATATTGCTTTGAATGAAATTAAGCAAATTATTTTCAAATAGAAAAATGTACAGTTTCATTTTTAATAAAAAACAACACGTCATAATTCACTTGCAGCAAAACTTTTTAATTAATTAAATTAGCACTCATTTACTATTAGTTGTATTTTAATTCCAAATTTTTGATATGTAAACAAATAAATTTAATGCAAACAATCGATAAATTGTTGTGGAAATTTTATTAATAATAACAAAGGTCACACAAATGAGAAACTTATTTCTCTGTAAACAAGAAAGCTATTTTCAGCATAAATATTGCTTGAAAACACTATAGCACTGATCGATTTTAATACATCAATATGTTCCATAAGGTCAAGTATTTTTTACAAGGTCAAATATTTTTTGTGAGGTCAATTACATAAATTTGACTGCTTACTTTCAGATAGTAATTGAGCTGTTGTTTTTTGGTACTTGTTAAGAGCAAGTAACCACAATGTTTTTGAATCAGTTTAGATGATGACGCTTTGAGTTTGTGTTGAAAGCTTCTTAAAAACAATTTTCTGACATAACTGAGTAATTTATTCACACTGAGCAACGAAGAAAGCACAATAAACTTCACTACGAAACTGTCATTGCATACATTAGCATTATTAAATTGAAAATAGAAATTAAATTAATTATGGACATCAATATTACTACTGCATATTGACAGCAATCAGATTTGACGTGAAATGCGTGAACTCAATTTGATTATAAAATGCGCAGAGCAGTTACTTCTCATTTGAATAATTAATGACAGTATAGTACAGAGCTCCGTTAGTAATTGTAATTCACATTCACATTCAAATATATATCAAAGTTTGTAGAAAGTAACGTTGATTAACTTAAATTCGAAGTAAAACTATTAAGTTTTGTATTTTATTTGAAATTAAATTAGCACAAATTAGCCAATACTTATTGAAATTTAAAAAATAACAAATTGTGCATATGCTTTCAAAGTGATGAAAAACATTTTAAAAATTACAAACATTTTGGTATGACAAAACTCCCTACAAAATTTGAACATGAAATCTATGAAAAAAATGAAAAAGAAGAATTTTTGTAAAAAAAATATTACAGAAATTTATACTCAAAAAAAGTAAATTAAAAAAAAATAGAATTTAGAAAACACCCAAAAATGTCATACAAAAGTTATCTAACCCATACATGGTAAATAATCCAAAAAGAAAAAGTTAGAAATATCTGGTGATGGTAAATATTCAAAAATTTAGTTTATAAAAAAGTTACAGTAAAAAAATCGAAAAGTATAATTTCAATGCTAAAGGTTAAACACGTCCTGCCTGATTACTTTACTAACGATCAAAAAACTTGACAAAAACAAGTTTAAAAAAATAAAAATAAGCAAATTGAAAGGTTGACAAAGTAATGCTAGCAAAGTATAGACATTTTATCAAATGATTTATTATTAATTTATGAATTCAAAATTTTTTACTGAATTTTAAATTCTTTGATTGCATTCAGTGCACGCAAAATTCAGACTTTTTTAAAAGTTTTGAAAGATCTTTCAGTACCAAAATATTTTTTTACAAAATATAATTTATTAAATGATATTTTTCAAATATTTCTCAAATGCGTTCTTATAAAAATGATTGAATTCTTTTTTAATTCCAACAGAACTGAATCTATCAGTAACTAGTTAAAATAAAGTGATCAATCAAAGATTCAAAATTGAAATCAGTGATAATTATCTGATAAGAGGTCAAAGGTTAAACACCCATTTGCATATATAATAATATATTTTTAGAATCAAAAAGATATGATTGAAATTCTTGAAGAAAGTTTTTTTGATAGCAAAAGTTTTTCTTAATAAATTAAAATTTACTAAAAACTTTTTCATTTAAAAAAGACAATTATTGCAATGAAATTATCAAAAATTTAAAAAATATTAACAATAATTATAAAATTTGAAGCGCAAATACAATGTGAATCACAGCAAATACCTCTTCAAGAAAACAATCAAAGTGCTATTGCCATTTCGAAGTGAATTTCTTCTTCCTGTTTGCTACACTTGTTTCGATGACTGCTTCTGAGCTAGCTAAAATAATTAAGAGATATTTCTGAAGTACGATTCCAAGCATTTAAAAATAATCACAAACAGACGATAAAGCATTACAAAAAAGGCTTATTTTGCTTACGGAATGTTTTAGAACGAAAAAGAAAATATTTCCATCAAACTAAAATTTTGGCGCTATGTTAATCTAATTCGATAATATTTAATATTATAATCGTTGATATTACGTTTACTAATATATTTATGTTAATAAAGATAATTATCATCATTATTACTATTATTCTTATGAATACCTGATTATTACAACTCTGTAGCATTTATATTTTGCGCATGCAAATAACTTTTCCATAATGGCAAAACTTTAGAATTAGCTCTTATTTTCCTCATTTCAGTAATGTTAGACTATCACAAATATTCAGATTTTCTCCAGTCACCAAATACTCCAAAAATAACTCAACAAATTTGCATTCATTTTATTTTAGTTTATATAAATGGCTAAATTTGCATGAAAATCGAAAAACGAACATCAAATCTTAGCTTTCTCATTATCTGACACAAACCAACAGTGCAGAGAAAAACATTCACACTTGCCAAGTTGTAATTAATAGGTCGAATCGCAAAGCTATAACGTGTCCAAATTGCTCCCGTAGCGAATAATGCCATATTCTGAAACAGTTTAGTATTGTTTTATTTTAGAAAAATATTTGACTGTAAAATACAAATATTTTAATTGTTTATTTTCAATTTAATATTTAAATTATTTGATGACCAAATTCTCACAGGCAAAAGCCTTACTTAATTTAAGTTACTAATTTTGAACAGATTCATAGATACGATTACTGGAAAAATTATTTTAGGAATAAATGCCTTAGTTAAGACTTTTTTAGCAGAAACGTTTATATTCACTTAAATACCAATTTTAAGTAGTAGTAAATGAATCAATCAGCATATTATTTTGAAACTGAAGGTTATTTCTAATTGTAATAATTAATTAATTAATTAATTAATTAACTAATTAATGATTATGCTTAATCAGAAAATAAATGAATCAAATATAGAAAATCTCACTGAAAATTAAGTTTGTTTTCCGTCGATTGAAAAAGATATTTATTAGCTGAATAAAATCAAATTTTCTAACATTTATCTATAGGTACTAAAATATGCTTTTATTTATTTATTTATTTTTCGAATGTTACTATGACATAAGCACGATCAAGAAGTAATCAAATTGGATAAAATGAATTAAAGGATATAGCAAGCAACGATTTCTATAAGCGATAACTGAATAAAAAGCTGAAGGTTTGCTTAAAAAGTAGACGGAAAAGACCTGATATAGACTAAGTTTTTCTGCTGGTCTTTTTAGATCAGTAATTCCAGCAATAACTAAGCCCCACTTGATCGCCGGAGCCCAGAAAAATACTGTCTTAGGGCCAGCTTCATGATTCCATACATGTTTAGCAAACACTGGCAACAAAGGATAGATTACCTGCAAAATCAAAGGTATTCTGTGATTTTTAAAATCAGACATTATTAAATAAATATAAATGCAAAATACACAAATCGTTATGATGGATTTATTATATTTATGTATAAGCAAATTTTGTAGGATGTAACAGATGAAAACTTGCTTTATACTTCAGTACTAAAAATTATTAATTGCAAATGATAAGTAACTAACAAGTGAGGATTCAAAATTTCTTACATTTAAAAATCATCTATAGGTAATAAATGAAAGTAGTACTTCAAGGAAAGTACTAGGAAGTAATATTTATAAATTACAATCTGAAAAATTCAATTTAATAATTTAGATTTTTTGAGTATTTAATTAAAGCTTTCATCAAATGCATAATTTGCAACTGGTAATTAGAATAAATGTACCAAAGTGAAACTTTTAAGTTGAAAATCACACCAAACCTTATCGCCGGTTCGACATAGCGCTCGATACAATGCTGAGGGCATTAGAATCAAACTGAAATACTTGATGAATTAATCATAAAAAAACTTTCTGCAACGTTGTGATACACACACGCAAAGTGTGAGTAAAAGTGAAGAGCAAGGAAAAAGTATTGCTTCATATTGTGATTATAAAACTTTTTTAGCACACTTTACGAAAACAATCTTAGATGACGTTAGTTTTAAGCTTCACTTTAAAACTGAGACTTACGCATTTTATACACATGAATATAATTACACTAAGCTATTTTCGAATTACGAAAAATACTCCGAGAATATTGATCTATGAAATGAATATAAGTCGTTGTATTACTCTCAAAATACATTAATTTTGAATACTGAAAACTGCATCGAATCACAACATATCACTATTTTCATCAAACAAATATAGATAATCAGTGGATATTTAAAATCCATTCAAAACTATTCAATAACTTATCATGTAAATATGCATAATTAGGAAAATAACTGATCGTAAATTGGTAATTTAACAAAATTAGTACTTCAAAGCTCGAGATTAGCAATTAAAATAAAAGAATGATTAATGTATGATTGAATGAGTGAGTGCTTGATAAAATGAGCTATAAAATTCCAATAAATAATTATATATTTTTGAATTTTTAATAAATTTTCAATTTGGTAAATATATATACTCTAATTACCTATTTATAATTACTGTATTATCTTTTTTTGATCTCAAAGCATCATATTTTTATTAGAAGATCACAACTGAATCTGCGAATGAACTGAATCCGAGACATCGATCTTATACTTTGAAAGAAAAAATGCATTAAAATAGAACATTAATGCATATTTAGAGATGTAAGCAATAAGTATTATTTATAAACGTCAAAATATTCAATAAAATAAATCACTGAATCATTCATTTTCAGTCTCATACGTGAAATTCCATTTCACACAAAGCTGAGCATTTCTCTCAAATATTTTATTTTTTAGACTTATAAAAAACAATATAATTTAGAAAGTAATACTATGAATAGAATAATTATGAATCAGTACAAAGCTGATAGAAATGCTAGAAATTTTTAAGCCAAAATGGGGTTAGGTCGGGAAAAATTAAACTTTGCAAGCAACAAATTCAATCAACTTTTTTTCAATGCAATAATTATTTGAATTAGACAAATAATGTACTTCTGAAGTGCGCTATGAATAGTTTGTGCTTTCTTAGATTAAATGAAAATGTGAATTGTAAATAGAAATGTACGTAAATGGCACGTATGACGTGAAAATAAAAGAAATGTTGAAGTTATTAATAGCGTTGAGACGGGGAATAGTGACATGAACGCAGTGCAAGAAGTCCGTGCAACCCATCTCTTTCTCATTTGGCAAACAAACTCAATGAGACATCATTTCGTATGCTGTTGACTAGCAGAAATGTCAATCTGCGCGAGTTCATAGGTCAGTTCACTATTGACTAACATTGATGCCAATAATATGACTTATGATGTCAATACGACAGAATACTACTTCTCGTATTAATTGAGAGGTCAAAAGATTATGAGAGAATGGGTGCTGAGAGCGACTGCTGCTCAAAATGCCTGATCGCAATTGCACTGGTCAGACAGTATCCTTTGTTCGAGTGATGAGTGTGCCAGAATTCATCTCCTCAACTTGATAAGACTGCAATTATATTGAACAATAGCAAAAAGAAAATAATTGTAAGTAATACCTTTACTCAATAAAAACGTTCCTAAAGTAAGCAATAGAAGTAGTCAGTTGTCAACGATTGCTGACGAATTTGATCAGCAGAAATAATCAGTAACAAGTGATAAGACTGCAAGGATTATCAATCACTTTGGTGATTATATATCTTTTTTATCAATAATCGTTGACAACATTTCTTGCCATCACACAATTGAAAAATGCTCACTTTGTAACAAAATTGCTTTTTGCTTGCAATTTTCCAACAAACAAACTTTTGTTTTTGTTCAAATATATTTACTCTTTCATTACTTTCACACGTAATTGCGAAATGAATACGCGTACTATTTTCTGCTTTTTTTTTTTTTAGATTTTATTCGTAAACGATTGTAATGAATTTTGATGCATTACAAGTATTCTACTAAATCCAAAAATTTGCACACTTTTTTTGTGTTAATAACACACTTTTTTTGTGTTAATAACACACTTTTTTTGTGTTAATAACACGCGCGTGGAATTAAACAGTACAATTTTCATTATTAAGTTGCAAAAAGAACAAATCCACACTATAACACTTCATATAATCAAAGTACAATTCAAAAAATAAAAATTAAACTCTAAAAATCCAAAATTCAAAAAGAAAGTCAATAAACATAGATTTGAAAGATTCATAGATTTCAAGTAAACAACTTTTATTTTTCTTATAGTCAACATCATGTTGGATTCCTATGCTTCTCATATTTCCGTGCATATATTTCATATTTCGCTTATTATTATTGAACAAATTCACGTTTATGACGACGAATAAAAGTTTAATGCATTTGTAATTGAAAAGAGATATATTTATTATAACATTATTATTATTTATTAATGCTATCATCATTATTATCGTTTCCATCATAATTTATTATTATTACTATTATTATTATTTGTATTATTATTATCATTATGATTATTATTATTAGCAGTAGTAGTATTTGGTAATTAGAATGAATTGTTGACTTATATGCAATGACTTTGTCCTTCAGCGATGGAAATACAAAAAAACCGGACTGGTTAGCACTTCTTATTTACTTCTTATTTACTCACTATTTTACATAACAAATCTTAAAAAGTACATTCAACACTATATATTTTGTGTTGAATGTACTTTTTAAGATTTGTTATGTAAAATATTGCTGTAACCAAAATTATTTGCTATTTTGTAAAACCTAAACTTAAACAAAATGACTAGCATATTTGTTTGGCATATGTTTCAGTGAATTATTTCTCTAATCATAAAAATATGCGTTATCACCAAAAGGCATAACAATAATAATAATAATAATAATAATAACAATAATAATAACAATAATAATAATAATAATTAAATTGAAAAGATGCACAACACCTTTAATTGTATAATTAATAGAAAATAAATAAACAACTAAAGATTATCTCATACAGCAGTTACAATAATATGTATATAAAAATGGTTGCAAAGTAAATTAACCTAGAGATAATCCTTTCAATCTCAATAAATGCGATGACACATTTCTGACTTCCCACATTTGCAGTACTTGCAAACCCTGTCCTTAAACAAGCAAAATAAACTACTTCACTGGAAAAGACTTAGCATCAATTGTAAAATACTCCAAATTTCCGTCCCTATTCATTTGCTAACGTCCAATATCAACTGCTCTCTGACATGGACTTCATTAACGTTAGTAAGAATAAACCTGTTGAAACAACAACTGCTACCATCCAATTACAGAGATGTTAGCTTCGCAAGAACTCATCAATCCAATTTGAAGTATTGCAGGGACTTCATAAATCACATTAGGAACCTAACAGATGCTAGTACTAAAAGTACCTCTTTGCCTAGCCACACATGCACCTTACACATAATACACTTTATCGTCCCTCTAATGCTTACTGTCGAATTTACTGGCAACGTTCCAGCACTATCAGTAAAAAGATTAAAGTGATATCCACATAAAGACGGGTAATAACAAGTTTTAAATACACATTTTATACACAAAATAGATGAACACTACACGAAACAAAAGCAACAAACAGCCGACCAAAAACTGGTATACAATATGAAAGAACACAAATCCGTACCGTCATTTTCACTAAAAAGCTAGAATAGAAATAAACAAGTCTAAATACTCATTACATCCATTATAGAAAACTGTTATCACAATTATGTCTGAGATAAACATTGAGATTTACACGCATCACTCCATCAACTTAGAAAAAATTTACAACTATTAGCGAAAAAATAGAATCACAAATCACAAAAAGAGGACACACGACAAATTTAGATGGTGGTTTCAATACAACTATAGGTTGCTCATATGCATTATTGCAAATAACCTATAGTAAGTTACTTTCACTGAAATCCACAACTCATTTCATGGAATATTGTAGATATGTACAATTAAACGTATTTAACTGCATGAATGACGATAAGTGCCACTGCGTATTAATTTTTAAAACAATGCTTAGTAATTCTAGCTTCAAACACGTAAGAAATTTAAACCAATTAAAAAAAATAATGCAATACTTATAAAAAGAAAAACTGGCTGCTTTAAAATAACAAACTATTACAAAGATAAATGAAAATAGGACAGAAAATCTAAAATTTATAGTATCTTCATAGAGATATAATATTACAAGAAAGATAGAACATTACACAGTAAATAATATCTCTCTAAACTAGACCTTAACAGCAACCATTTGAACCTCCCAGAGCTTGATTACCACCAGGAGAATTGGGTGAGCTCGGAGAATGTTGAGGTCCAAGTTTGATTCCATTTGCCTGAAATGTTGAAAATTCTGAAAGTCGTGGCATAATTTGAAAGAAACTCTCAATAATAAACATATCCAAAATAAGCAAAAAAGAAATTGCACAAAGTAAAGGAGATTAAAATTGACCATTATATCATCTTTACCGAACCCCATTAATAATCATGGAATTGATTTCAGTAAATGCTATGCTAGTTTCTCAAATTTTCTAAAAATGAGTGAAACAGACCTCATTATTGATATCAAAAACACCTTCTTGTATTTTTCTATAAATTTCTTTTGCTGTATCAATAAATGCCTGAAAACAAAGATTTGATCGAATAATTGCACGGAGGTGAGACAATTTAATTTTGTCAATGGAATAAACTTTAAGATATGTAAAATCATTGCCTCTTCCACATTCGCAGCAGTTTTCGCTGATGTTTCCATGAAAATTAAACCATGTTCACGAGCAAATGCTTCTCCTTCTTCTTTCTTCACTTCACGTCTTGCTTCCAAATCACTGCAATTATATACATCAATAAATTTTTTCTAGAAAAAGAAATGATGCCCAGAACCTTGAAAAATTAAAAAGTGAGATGGAAAATACAACATCCAAGTTTGCCATATAAAAGAAATAAGTACAAATGGCTATACCTCAGTTAACTTCAAAGGCTAGGTACTTTTAATTTGGAAAGCAAGACGTCAGTTATTTAAAGACAAAAATGCTTTCAGAAAACCAATTCATTGTAAACGATATTTTATGTCTTAGTACTCACCAATTTATCCCGTAACGTTAAAGTCATATACTTTCTGTTACATTGAAAACCATAATTTGCATGCTTCTAACTAAGCAAACATTAATTCGTCATACTTGAGTGAGATTAGTGATCTATACTTTCTTAATATGTAGCACTCAAAATTCGTTAAAAATGACCTTTTGTTTCCAATAAGCATGATAACCATATTTGAATTTGAATGCTGACGTGCATCTTCCAACCAAGAAGTTAAATGATTAAATGTATCACGTCTAAAATAAATTTTGCTCTCACATAATGGCTCTAAGATTTTTTGAATGTTTTCAGAGATTGTTTTTGTATGATCTTATTAGAATTATTGACTGCAGAAAAATATACCGAGTAATATCATAAACAAGAAGTGCACCAGCTGCTCCACGATAGTATGAACGCGTAATTGACCGAAACGACTCCTGGCCTGAAGAATCACCGAAATCAATCATGCATAATGTGTTTTTAAAAAAAATATGAAAATTAAATGAAAACCGTAAACATACCAGCCGTATCCCATATCTGCAGTTTTATTTGCTTATTATCAATGGTAATCATACGCGCACCAAATTCGACGCCTATATATTAAAAAAAAAAAACTATAAAAAAAACTTATGGAATCAGCATATTGAAAAAGTATATCTTTGAACAGATTGCAGACCCCATATTCTTTAAGGTAAACAAAATTCTTTGAATTTGTTCTCGGAATCGAAAATACAGTAATTCTTAATCAAGAAATTCAAGCACTTTATTCCACTGCAAAGGGGATGCAAGGTAAATAATAAAATAGTTGAACCACCACAAAAATAGTAAAGAGCTTACCAATAGTTAAATCATGAACAGGTTGAAAGCGTTTATCGGTAAATTGCAAGAGAAGACATGATTTACCTACTCCTAAAATATACATAATTTCAGTAATTTACGAATAAGACCAAAATAAGATTTTCCAAATATTCATTTTGTAAAGTATATCAAAGTTAATCTGTTCAGTTAATAACAACGAAAATATAATTTGAATACTGATTTTTGTCATAACTTTTATGTAAATAACAACCTTCGGTACACACGTTAAATTTTACCTGTATCCCCGATTATGATATATTTGAATAAATAAGCGTAAGACATCTGTATCGGCGATTGCTGCGATTGCTAACTAATCCTCTGCAAAACATTAAGTTAGCACTACACTGTGAAAAAAGGTAGTCAAATATGAACTGCTGAAATCAACATATCCTTAACCCTTTCTTACCTATATATTCGTGCTTTAGAGCTTAAAAACTCAATAACATCAATAATAACAATAACATATTATATTATTATCAATATCAATATTACGATAACCGAAGTCTTGAGAGCATTTCGTCAAAAAATACAAAATGATAAATATGACATGAAGAAATGTAGCAAACTAAATCATGATTCTATACAGAGTGAAAAAAATCTTCACGAGGTCTAATTCTATTCGAAATACCATTCAAAACAAGTACATTAGGAGGGAAAAACCACGGGAATACTGACTCTTTAAGCAAATTGTAAATCAATAACTATGAGTACCATGCAAACAATCGAAGTAGGAAACACTGCAACAATAACAGCTTATATTCTTTAACAGCATATTAACTTTAAGTAGTCAAATATTGCATAAGTGAAGATGTGAAAAGATTAGACAAGGCAAGAAATACTAGAAGGCTGCTGAAATGTTCTGGCGATGGGAAGATACTTTCAGATAATTGACTAACGAGTAGTGGAACAGCGTGAAGAAAGTAACTTATACACTTTTTTAATCTTTTTAGTAAAATGCCTAGAATTTTTTTGTCTAGACGTATGAGTGTATAATGTAGAGGTTGACTCGTCACTAAATAACAGTGCTTACGTTTTCATTCGATTATGCTTGGTATGACAGAAGTTACTCGGTATTTCTCGAAACATTAGTCCCGCAGTGGAGTATAAATTTTATGGTGAAATTAGCATTGCGAGATGGAAATTTAATATGCAAATATTTATTGGAGCTACAAAATAAAAAAGGATTAAGTACTGCTGAAAACGCAAGTCATTTGAAGTAGTTCTTTTATGTTGCATGGCGCAATTAGCTTCAGACGGAGCATCTGAAAAGGACGCAATGTTAGAAAGGGGCAGTAAAGGTACTTTTGAAGTTACTTACTAGAATCTTGGAGAAGCAAGTTGGAAAGGTAGACTTAGATTTCAGAATTTTTTTAGCACCTTCAAAATTTGCAGTTCAATTTCTTATTAACTTTATCAGAGTGTATTTATGTGTAAATTGTGACATTGTTCAGCGAGGTTAAACGCTCATGCTGAATGGAATAACTTGTATTAGATGTATGAGAGCTTTTTTGCTGTACTTTTAATTTACTTAGCCTTCCTTCTACTTCATTCTCAGACTTACTTTGAGTAAAATTTTTCAACTTATAACATTCTTTTTCCCTCACAATTCATTTTAATTTAGACATTATTGCAGAAAATAGTTGTAATTAATTGTATAATTTTTCAGTCAAAAGTTCGAGAGGTGAAATTCCTTCGCAGCAGACTGGTAAGAACTCTGACAATATGAACAAACATAAGAAAACATCAAATAACAATAAGAAACGAAAGGTGTGTTTTCACTTCATATCCTGTGGATTTGTGACTAAAAAAAGTATTGACACATTCAGCCTTCCTTCTATATTTATCAAATTTACATTTATTTGATTTTGATTAAAGAACTGATTTGGCATCAGTTATTTATTGGCTGTTTGGATTACACAATATTTCAGAGTATAAATGTTGATGGAGAACAGCAGTTTCGGGATGGGTTAGTGATTGTTTGAAATAATTTCGTGTTTTTAGAGATCATTACCATGAATAACGAAACTTTAATCGTGCTTATTTTTAGTACTTTCATTAATACACAATTGAATGAAAAACTAAATATCTAAAATATATGTAAATATAAAAATAGCTATACCCCAAATTTTATAATCAAGAAATGAAACAGACAAATAAGTGTAAGTGAATAAATAAATATGTATACTGTTAAAAAAAGGAGAAGAATGCTTTATTTTTAGGGTATCCAAGTTACAGTGTAAGCCAGAAAAACCCTTACATCATCAAGGCGTTAAAATGCGAGTAAGCACCAGGTTTATTTATCACGATGGGCTTATATTCAGTCGTACTATATGCTCTTGGAGTACGTTAAAAATTGTTATCAACCTCATAATTTTGCAGTTTTTTCATCTGTATTATTTAAGAAAAATCAAGAGCAAACTATTATGTGAGTTGCACGATTGTGATAAGGCCTCAAATTATTATTATACCAGTGTATCATTTTGACCCTTATTCTTGGTTTTTTTAATTGTATTAATCTTGCAAATGAAGCTAATATTTAAGTATGCACATTCTTCTTTCTAATTTGTATATATATTTGGCTTGCATTAATTGTGGTCGGTGGTATCTACCTATTAATTTATACTTCAAAAAAAGGACCATTCTATTATGGAGAGACTACTTTTATTGGTGGTGTACCCGGTAAAATTTGCAAGAGATTTTCTGTTTATTTTTTGGTTATACTATCATATTGGGATTTTAAACTCCTGTCAATTTCAGTATTTTCGTACTAAAGATATGATAAAGTTTATAGCAGAAAAATTGAAAACGATTTATTAAGGCATTGGTTTTGAACCTCGAGAATATAGTGCAGTTAAAAAAGAAATATTACTTAAGTGGGACGTAAATGACCCCAAAACATATGCTTTCTATGTGAAGAGGCTGCAAACGTTAATGATTGGTAAATTTTGCAGCAAGTTTCAGCTTTTCGTTGGAGTAAGGACACACTTTTTAATTCATTTTTTGCCATTATAAGGAAGTGAATTAAAATTTAGAATATGCAGAAAAAGAACTAAGACATGATGAGTTCATGTTAAATTGCGAACAGAGAGCTCTGTCACACATTAATGGAGAACCTTCAAAATTTTATTGCAAAACAGATGTAAGAAATTCAGACGACGACTATGGTCATGGCAGTTGTGCACTGCTCAAGAAAGTTTCTAATTTAAATTTTTTACGTGATAAGAGTTATTGGTCAGTACATTACATTTACGTGCGGCAAAACATTTGTGATTGCCAAGTGTTAGCTTATAAACAGTGATTAGTAGTTAGTCGTTATTTTCGTATTAATACGGTAAAAGCTTGAAGCGAGAGCGGGAAGAGTAAACTTTCAAGATGATCTTATCTAAAGCAGAGTTATTCGGTATAACTTGGAAAAGCAACGTGAGAACCTGTTGTGTATGGATTGAAATACAGCGCTTGCCTTTGTACCACATTAATTACTGCTGATTACATTATCAAGTAACTCGAATAAAGTTCTTTTGTGCATATTTCAAATCAAATTTTAGCAGTACGAAGTTTGGTTACGATGTCGGAGAGCCATGTGTGATGTTACGTATAAATAAGGTAAAATCCGTGTCATATTAGAGTCAAATTAAAGTTTTAAATTACCACTTGTATTAATTCTCACACTTTGTCAGTGGATGAGATTAGTTTCCATTTGTTATTGCTTTTTTTGTTTACAGAAATACTATTTCTCGTAAAGTATTCATTGTGTAACTTTAAAAGTGACATGACCAATACATTTTTGTTAGTATTAATACTGCACACATTTTTGACCTATCATTTCTGTCTTCGGGAGATATTTAGTGTGTAACTTTGGAAATGATTCGAGAAAGTTTCAAGATTTGTTTTGTAAAAAATGTATGCAGAATTAACGAATTAATACAATACAATAATACAATTGCATTAATACAACTGCTTGCTTCAAAATTTTAACGATTCTACTAGCAATTTATCTTACAAAATTATATATTCAATACTACAGTTATTTGGCTATTACCCAGAGAGGTCAGTACATAATCTATCTAGCGAAGATTTGGATTCCAAAGCAAAAAAAATATGTCAAGGAAATATGACAACAAAATGCTGTAATGATGATCGAATGTCATTCCGTTGCTCGTTAACGGTATGATACTCTACTTTCAAGTTGAAGTTTATACTTTTATTAGTTTTCTAACCTATCTTTTTATTACTTTTGCAATGTACACTAACTAGTAATTGAACTATTTCACATATAATTTTGTAAAATAAATTGCTAGTAGCTAGTGTAGTGTCAGCATCAATATACATGAGATTGTATACAATATTTGCACTAATGCAAAGTTGTTAAATAACAAAATGTGCTTGGAACTGATTGGATTTATGGATAATTTTTAAAATATAGCTTTTTATGGCTTAATTTTCCGTATATTATTTGAATATTGCCACGAAATTTTGTAATATCATTGCTAGCTTTAAATGAGTATTGGTTTCGAGCATAAGAGTAAACTTTTGATAGTTCTTCAGTGAATTCGTGAATCGACAAAACAATACAATAAAAAATAATTCTAATACGAACGTTTCTGAAGTTTAAAAATTTGAAAAATAAATGACTGAAAAGTTTAGGAGAAAAAACTGGAAAAAATTTTTGTTTTTCTGATGAGATATGTGTTATAAAACAAATTATCTTGAAGATTAATTTTTTAGTTTTTGTGAAAAAATTTCATTTGTTACTGAATTTTAAAAGATTTTGTAAATTATTTTTGTATTTTTGTCAACAGTACAAAAATTTTTAGTTTTGCAGAAAAATTTAGAAAGAACAGTAATAACAGAGCAGTATCCAAAATATGGTTATCCTTATTGCTTCTATCCATACAACCAACAAAACGGTTACATGCAACCGTTCATCATGATTAAATTAATTAACTTAATTCCGAATAGAAAGGTACATTTCTTTTAACTTTTCAATTTTAATAAATTTATATTTCTATTTATGAAGTGAAATCGGTTTTGTCATAAAGTATTTAGCAGTTCAATAATATGCACAAAAATTATCATCTCTGAGATTGAAGAACTTAAATATCTAACTTCAAAGTTTTAATGCAATAAGCTATTATGCATATTTCAGGTAGGAATTGAATGCAAGCCTACAGCAAAAGATCTTCAAAGTCGATCAATTAAATTATGGTTTCAAATGAGCAGATTCAATCAAACGTAATTCAACGAGAATTTTGCTGCTGTGATTTCAGTACTGGTCAAAGGAAATTTTTTACGTGATCAAAGAATTATGGACTGAATGCAAATTTGTACAAGAAGAAGCCATAGTTGTATGATTTTAATATCAATTTCCTTATGGTAATTAAGCCAAAAGTCTGTTAATTTTAGATGCTGTTGTTTGTTTAAGTATTTTGCTTTTGATTTTTTCAGTTCTACATCTTGTTCCTCTTATTTCTCGGAAAATCATAATTTTTGATTTGCAGTTGTTGCTGAATAAGAATATCTTCAGAACTGTAAATTAATTAAACATTTGATATGAAAACGAGTGCATTCACGTTTTCTTTTGTTTTTGATAAGAATTTAATTAACTGTAATTGTTAATTAGTCATTTAGGATAAATTTGTGAATTTGCAATGAAAGGCATACTGTAATATTATGTAATGTTCTTTAAGCATAAGTCTCATTCAATTTTATTTTGGGGCCGATTTTGGAAGTTTTACGTTTTGAAAGCAATTTACGAATGTAATTAACTATCTCAGAATAGAATGACATTTTTATCAACTGTTTGTGCATTTTTTCGCATGCTTACTCTTTACGGACTAAGCTTATTTTCCTGTCATCAAGCATTTATTTGTTGCTTGAAGCTTCTTAAAGATTGTAATTTTTGTTTGATAACGTACTATTTATGCAAAGAAAAAATTATGCGTGTAATGCGCTCTACTTGTCAGCTTATTTCCGCTGCGTGAAGTGAGAATCATTGCACGTTTAACATTGTAGTAGCAGTCAAGAAAGTGATTTCACTCACCTTAGAAAAAGAGAAAGATTGCTTGTAAATTGAAGTAAAAAATGCAAAACTTCCTGGTATGAGTAAGTGAACATTGCCAGTATTAAATAAAGAAGTAACAACTGGCTTGAAACGAATTCTAAGCAGAAGCATTTGGAATTTGTCTGTGACTTAAGGATAAAAGGGATAAGACTGATGTAAGTATCATAGTGAAAAAATGTACGTAATTAATTTATAGAATAAGACAATAAAGATGTGTTTATAGACTAGACCAAATGAAGCAGTCATCTGATTTGAGCTAAAGTTTGATCTGATATAGTACAGGAATGACCTGAAAGCTTTTTGCAAAGTAATTAGTATCCTTATGTGTGATTTATGAGTTAGTATTTGTATTCATGTAATGACACAATTAGCTTGAATAAAGTCATCTATCGGATTGAAAAAGTGATACAATACAGAGACAGAAAAATTTTTTAGATGTGTGGGTGGGGCAGGACATGTGACACTTTCATACAGCCATTTGCTAATAATTCTATATTATCAATTCGGTTCGATCTAATGACTGAGACGAATTGATTCAGGAGCTGGTTAATTGGCTTGCATGGATTATTTGACTCATCTAGTTATTATTTTGATGATTCCCTCAGTAATGTGTCGGAGTTGCTACGATTCTTCTACCAGTCAAATTACTGACTTCCGTGATTGTGGACCTCAGAAAGAAGTTATTTTTACTTGTAAGACAAATTATTAGCTCAAATCAATATCAGCATGTTTTTGACTCACATCTAATTAGTTACGTCAACTAAGTCAATGTGGGCATTTTATCAGTTGAACTGAATATAGCCATATTCAAATATTACTAATAGCTGTTGATACTTAACGTTTTTATAACAGTAATATCATTATCAATTCTTGTACTAAAAGAATAATAAATTAACAGTAATAGTCAGATTATTACAATTATTGCATGATATCTATGAACAGTTGATAATATATTACTGAAATGAAGAATTTGAAGCATTACTGTTAAATTTAGACAGAATCATTTTACTTCATCATATTATTCTATATTATTCTTTTAGTAAAATAATACGATTTGCTATTTGAAAAAATTAATCATCTCTGCTTGTAATATTGTAACTTATTCAATAATACTAATAATTTTCAAATTATTTTCAATATTATTATTATGATTTTCAATAATTTTTCTTGAAAAAATGCCTAATGCCCAAAAATATTTCCTGTAATAAAAAATGAGCATGTAATTTAGCAATATTATTATTATCTAATTATTAAATATTTTTTCAGAACATTTTCATGTCAAAGTTCATCTACATGTTGTAATGCTAAATATAAAAAACTATGAAGTAATTCAGACTTTTATCATGAAATTTATCAAATAATGTAAAATTAGAGAACAATCAACGTTGTTTATGTTCCGAGTATTTTACTTAATCTTGTCAAGGCATATTAAGTCTAGTTCAAATTGGCTTTTTATTTAAGAGAGAACAATTGAATTTGGTTATATTTAATTCTTAAGCTCGTTAAGTAATAAAAGTTAGACGTAAACTTAAATGAGTTGAACGCAAAGAATCAAGTAAATATATACGCAAAGTGCGATATAATTCTAAAATAGAATATAAGTTTTGTCGAGGTTTAAAATGTAAATTACATTGCATTTGAATAGATAAATCCTATTTTTATTCATCAGTATGATTAATAAATTTTTTTAAAAGCAAATAAACTGCAGTTTTTTCCATTGATCTTCAATTCATTATTGTCATTTCTTTATTTGATGAATTAGAAGACTAATTTTTAGATGTGTTACAGTGAATATATAGCTATTGAGCAGTCAGATAAGCAGTATCTACATAAGTTTGATCGCTTTTGTGCTTACACTTTTGACTGTGTGAAACGTAATTTGCATAATCGTTGCTTATCAATAGATCAACTGAGTGCACGAGTCTTGACAACACTTGTCATCAAGTTAGCCAAAGATGGCTTCCAGAAATCAGACGTAAAGTATTCCAGGTTGGTTGCGTATTTTGCTTGCTTTCAATTCACTTATTTTTCGTAAGAGAATTTAACTATCAAATGGTTAATATAATTAATCAAATAAAATCTTTTGATAATTAATGAATTATGAATTTTGTGGCTGATTAATTTATAAACCATTACTAGTACATGATATCTTCACCGATCATAAAAAAAATTTGCTACTGAAAAATTATAGATCTTATAAGTATAACTTGTTTGCAATTCAAGTAATTTCTGATCTTGACTGATCAACTTGCGCACTTGGAAAATGCAATTCATCATTTATAATCTTGCAGTATTAATTCCTTAATTGTTTTTCCCGATTCATACTTGACTAAATTATAGCTAAAAAACAAATTAATGAGAGTAATATTTTCTAATACTTGTTATAAGCTTTGAAAAGTAATTACTTGAAAAGGGAGTAATTGAATTAATTGACAGAATATGCTGTTACCTAGCTAATCACTGTACCTTATCATTAATGGTAATTTTTGTTTTCTACGAATAATTTGAGTAAAAACTCAATTGTTAATGAATAAGCTCGAAATTAACAACAGTTTGCAAAAAGTTTTTACGATAAAATGACTACATTTCAATTACTAACGTTCAATATTACATCATAAGTTAACTTTATTGCCATATTTGAAATTAATAATGCTTATGACAATATTCACTTTTATAATACATTACTATAGAGGTCATTTAGCTCAAATATTATCTGATATTTATTTACATGGTGTATATTTTTTCAAAATTATCATTTTTGTGCTCCAAATATTGCTTAAATAAATTGGAATAAAAAGAGAACACGAGTTGATGACATTTTAATAAAGTGGACTATAAAATTATGCTCAAATTTTATTAGTTTATTTTATGAGATTAATTGCTATCAAATTTTTATCGCTTGCATGAAATTGAATAAATATATTACTAAAAGAATTAATTATTCCATTTCAATTCTTTCATTATAATATTTTTTTAAATCAACGGAAGTTATTACTTAATCGTTAAATCTAAATTTAACAAATATTTAAATAAGTACTTCAGAAATTGCTCAACAATGCAAATTACTATCATTATGTCTACTGAGAGAATTCTAAACTGACTTTTGCATGAAAAAACTTGCATTCACACGAAACTAACTAATTTTCATTTTATGTGAAGTCAACAATGCAAATATTTTCTTTGCACTTCCGTTTTTACTATCAAATTCTTTCAGAAAAATGTGAAAAGCTTTTCAACACTTAACTTTCTTGCAGATTTTGTTGTTGTTCAACGAACTTATGCAATTATTTTGGTATCAAAGATGCGATCAAAATGTATAATCTCACAGAAAACTTGTGGTCAAGCAGTGATTCAGTGATGTCGAATATGCATCTCAAATTCATTTTTTGCTTGCTTTTTTTTTGCTTCAATTTTTGTATTCGCTGAAAATTTTCATTGTAATAACTTTTTTAGTTTTTTAGCGTTGTGCTATGCTATGCAAGTAAAATTATCACCAGTTTGGTTATTTATATCTAATCATTTCATTGTTACAAACGTTTTTGGATTGAAGTAGTTCTAAATATTCATTTCCTGGCACAACAACTGACATATATTATACAATGTATGAACTCAGGATTACAGGAAAATTTCTGCAACTTAGAGGAATTTACTTAATTTTTATCAATTGATCGATTGATTGGTCGATTGATTGAGATTTTAGTAGATTGAATGTACTGAATTTGAAATATTTGATTATCATATTCTGTAAATTTCACGAGTTACACGACGAAAGTAAATTAACATGAAATAAATTCTTTTTACTTTTTTGATTTTCTGCTGCTTAAGCAATAAATAAGTAATTGTGGTGGCTATGTTGTTTAACTCTGACAAAATTTATACTTTTAGAATGCCAGAAGATTATTCCATCTCTTTTATGCCTTCAGTAGTTAAGTTTAAAAAGAGCCAAAATCTTTATGAAAGTTACTGCAATATGTAATCACTAATTTGAAGAGAATAAAATGACAGAAGCGTACGTATGCATCAGTTTAATTGTGATATGTCAGCAAGCGGTTGCTTGTTTTTGTTCATCGAAGTTCGTTTGAATATAATTTAGAAAATTATTCATTTATAAAAATTAATTTTATTAATTTAATATTTTGAAAAATAATGTCGTGTGTGCTAAGCACACTTTGTGAAGCAAATAGTACAGAGTAGTAATTATATACATATATAAATTATGGATAAAATTGTGGTAATTTTTGCTATTTTGTTTAAAGATTATACAAATAATCAGTCTTATGAACGCTCGTATAGGAGAGAAAGTCCGAATTCAAGGCGTAGTAGCATGCGGTGGTAAACCGATGCTAGCACGTTTCAGACTATACGATGGAAGTAAGCTGACAGTAATATTGAGCAAATAATATTGTAGACTTTTGTTTTAATATTTTGAGAGATACCGAATGCACCGAAAAGAAAATTCGATTAAGAGACTTTAGTAGAAGTCAGTTGATTTAAAGATTATTGTAGTACTGAAATGATAGATAAGTATAACAAAGGTAAATTTATTGTTGAAGTTGCGAGTTGGATTAAAGATTTTGATGCAAATTAAGTGCGCAAATGATTACGTTTAAATAGCACTTGTTGCAGAGGCTATTAAAGATGAAAAACATATAAAAAATGGAACGTGAAAAGTCATGCTGTAGTCAAGCTGTTACCGTACAATAGTATTTAAAAAAATATACAAAACGATTGATGAAAATTGTAAAATTATAGTGCGAAAATTTTTTAAATTTGAATCGTTTTGGCGTATGTAATGATAGATACTGTTTATATTTTATATTGCTTATAGAAGGACTCAAAAATTCTGGTACCACAGCAAATATTGGAGATGAATTTTTGTTTCAAGTCACAAATATTACACCATCAAACCTGTACTTAACAGTAGATCATCATTGTGATGGAGGATATAAGAATAAGGTTTTTAACGTTAAACTTCTTTCAAAGTATACACTTTAGCCATTGTATGCAAAAGAAGAATATTAGATATGAGCATAAATTTGAACTTTCTTTCTAAAATATTTTTTAAAGCAAAAAAAATTGTAAACAAAAGCATGAAGTTTAAAAATAATAATAAAATGTTTGCAAAAAAATAGAAATTTGGCTTGCACCAATCAAAGTTTAGTTTTTGTAAATAATAATTTGAATAACAATATCAACCAAGTGAGGATTTAAATAATAATTTTATAACTGTAAGAAAATAATAATTTTAATAACTGTAAGATTTAATAACAATGCAAGAAAGCTCAATTTTTAGTGTAGTCAAACTAAAAACTATTGCATTCAAATAATAAATTTCTAATAGTTTAAGTGTAATTCTTCTTATCAATCTGAAATTTAGCTACCAAATTACAGGTAAATTTTCAGCATTGCTTGAGAAAGGATAAGGTATCATTTATAAACTTAACTAAAATACACGAAATATTTCATATTGGAACATTAGAATTGGAAGCTACAAATGTATCACATCCTCGGACAACTTCTACAATTGAAAGTCACGCTGGCTGTCAGTGTTATGTAGATAATTTGTTGAATAAAACATCTGTATTATGCCTGGAATTGGCCAAAACTTATCGAAACCGTTACCAAAAGAATAAACGTTCGAAGATTTCGTACAAAAACTAACGCAAAACGCTGTAATCTTTTAATAATTTGATGATAAATAGAATACAATCCGTTGTATTATTATATTACAATTTATATTTATGCTGAAGTGATACTATGCGTTTATCTTTTTCTGAATATATGAAAAATGTTGTTTTAGATAAAAAATGACTATTGCACGATATCAATGACGCGTTGCAAGATCACACATTTTTGAATACTCATAAATAAATACTTACTCTTAGCATCACTTAATTGACGAATTACTTTTAAATTGACTTCTGGGGCACTTTACTTTGTTAACTTGCAAAGTATATTATTTTGTTGACCTCTATTGTTTATGTTAAATATATATTCAAAAGAGGTTATCTGATTTTTTCTTTACTTTACTTTGCATTTCTAATTGACTCAATTAATTGCAAAAGAAACAGTGATTGCGTTATCTTTAAAATTACAGTCAGAATCATCTTAGCATTATTATCTATGCTAATTCTGAACTAAAACCAAATTGTTGAACAGTCTTAAGCACTGAGTCAAAGATTCACTGTTATACTGAACAAGTATTCTATTTGAGAATGTGACATGCATTCTTCTACCAGTCCATAATTAAAAATTGAGATTTTTTCAGATGATTAAGGTTTCATACTTCCATTATTAGAACTTTTGCTTTATTTTGTTATTGTTTTGTTTAAGATTGTATTTTAGTTGACTTAAGTTGAATCACAACAAACTCAAAGGAGCAAGTAATGCTCAAAATACTAAAAATCATATTTATCAGCTAATTAAGAAGTAAAACATTGCAGGAAGATTAAGTATGAAAATAATGTTAAAAGATGAATATTTCCATGTTGTATGATGACATTTGAAATGCTAATGCAAGGATGCTTATGGAAAAAAATCTGCAATTATATATGAAAAGAAATGGCAAAATTATCATATCAGCTAAAATTATGCAAATTTTTAATCGTTATCAGAAGTAAAGTTGAAGGCTAATTAGTACTCAAGGTTAATTTAACAAGTATTGCAAAATAAAATGTCATTTTTTTAATGTTATATTCCTTTTTTGCTTCCTTTACATAATTAGCAAAAAAAGATCAAATATTAAAAATATTACAGAAAGATAAAATCTAATTCTGTCCTCTCTCTATGCCAGCGATCAAAAATCACGAATAAAGTATGATCAGATTTGTTTTTCAGCATTATTCTAGTAATAAAATAAAGCAAAGATTGAACTGCAGTTTTAATCGCATTAAAAATTATACTGCAACTATGATTGTAATCAAAAAAATCAGCTTATATTATGGTGACAAATTCAGCCATTTTATATTATTTACAGTATTTCTACAAGCGCAAATAGAATTCTTAGTAGCTGACAGCTTATTAATAATGAAATACTAAAATAATTTAATAATAAAATGAAGTAATGATTAATTTTTAAGTCTGATATATTTAAATTGTATATTTCTATTTTAGTAACAATTCAAACCTGGTCTTCTACACAATATTGCATGAATTCAATATAATTGTGCACCAAATATGAATCCGTTATTAAATTTATTAATATTATTCTTTCTCATATTCTATCCCGATGCAAATCATTGCATAAATGTGAATACTAGTACTCAAGGTTAATTTTAGAGCTATTTTTATTGCTTTACTTATCAAAATGCCAAAAACTTGACGTGATTTGAGTAAGACTACACTTTTATTAACAATTTTGCATTGTATTTTTTTTTAGAATATACGAAAATCTATAGTAATTTGAAATTAATGAATTTCAGGTGACTTAGATAATTTGGACGTTGAAGAATGCTTTGAGAATCCGATAACGTTATCCGTCATAATGTCTTCTTATACTCCAATAAGGAATAATATCCTCAAATATTTAGATATTAATAGTTTACGTTCACTGCGAATGTTTGTATTTTTTTAATTTTATTGCATTTATGCAACAATAATTTCTGACTTTTTCCTTTAATTCGGTTTTTTTTCATTCAATTTATTATTTTTTATGAACTTTTTGTTGCACAATTCTAAGGACTTGCAAAGTACTGATGACTCTTTCAACAAAAGAACTCACACAACACTGGCAGATTCTTCATTATTCTGATGGCCAAATAAGGCCACCAATGTTTGCAAAATACAAAAATATTAGCCAAATGATTGAGTTAAGTCTTTGTATATTTTTTCATTTACTGTAAATTAATTCAAACATTGCTTTTTCTAATTCAGAAAATTTACACTCTGAAAAATTTAGTACATTTTGATAGCCTTTTTGATCATTTTTCAGGAACGAAATTGGGTACCACACTCAATAATTATGTTTGGTAGTGAAAACCCCTTAGATATCGCTCATATATCAGTTGAATGCAGAAAAATAGTAGCTACATCATGGGAAGATCACTTGGAAATATATTCCGGAAAATCAGGTTATATTCTTAGTTAATACTGCAATTTCTGTAAAATCTAAATGTCTATAATTAATCAGTGCAAATTAAATGAGCAATAATAATAGTTATTTCAGTTGAAATTGGTCAAAGGTTCCATTTTAATAAAACTAATTTAATCGCTCAAAACGGCTTAATTATTCCAAGAATGCCATCATTTTATAACAGTTCATCGATACACTTTTTTCGGTATATTAGCATTAATTTCTTGTCAATCTGATTATAATGATCTGTTTGAGTATGCTTGTTTTTTGTTTATAGTTTAAAATTTGATTTCAATACTTTTAAGCGCAGAATGTTTGCGCGATTGCTTGTACCACATGAGTGAACGCAATATCAGGAATCTGAGAAAAGTGAAGGTAAAATTATTATTAACAATAATTAAATTGTTATGAAAAATAATAACCATAAAGGTATTGAGATTGAAAATGATATACTTCTGTGAATTACAGTATTATTACAAAATTATAGTCAGAAACTTTTCACTCTGTAAAATTCTGGCATTTTAGATTAAAATTGAAAGTAAATTTGGCTTTTTTTTTAAAATTTAATGAGTTTTTCATGGCAGAAATAATTGTATTAAAAATTAAAAATGAATTTCAGAGGGAAGTAGATCTAATTTTAGTAATCGTTGGATCTACAGAAGGTAAAATCCATTTTTGTCACTTAAAAGATTTTCTAAAGCGCATAAAAGCACCAACTGGATTACCTGTTTGTTTCGCTGTACAAAAAAATGGAGAGTAAGTCTGATTTTAATTATTCTAATTCTTCACGTAAAACCGTATGTAAATAAATATAACGAGATTTTAGCAATCAATGCATAATTTAAATTTGATGCCAAATAAAATTTAAATAGCTCAATATATATATATATAT